GATCACAAGGGATCAGGAGTTGAAACCATCAACCTTGCGGGAATCTCCTCACACTAGAGGAAAAACTGTAAAAATGAAACAAGGCCAGCAGAAGTGAAGATCATCCTGGGCTGTACCCCTGATGTTCCTCGTATTGGTGTTAAGACTCAAGAACTTATGGTGTTGACTGTTGATCACTGAATTCTGGCAGGACTCTCCTCATGGATCCACTCCCCGGAGGTAGGACGGTGCTTCCCTGAAGTAGGATAACCAGTCTTAGCTTTGCCCAGGACTGAGGGGTTTCCCAGAACATGGGACTTTGAGTGTTAAAACTGTGACAGCCATGGGCAATCTGGGACAGTTCACTTTTAAGCATGGGCCTTGCCCCTGTCAATCACATGGAAAAAACTTTGGAAAGACTAAACCAACAAGAGGCCAGGTGTGGCAGCTCACATCTGTACTCTCAGCACTTTGGAAGTCCAAGGTGGGAGGATAGGTTAAGTCTAGGAGTTTGAGATCAGCCTGGGCAACATAGTGAGACTGTGTCTCTAAAAAACAATTTTTTTTTTTTTAATTAGCAGGGAGTGGTGGCATACACTGGCAGTCCCAGATGCTCAGGAGGCTGGGGCAGGAGGATCACTTGAGCCCAGGAGGTCGAGTCTGCAGTGTGTCATGATCACACCACTGTACTCCAGTCTGGGCAACAGAGACAGTGAAACCCTGCCTCAAAAAAAAAAAAAAAAAAAAAAAAAAAAAAAAAAAAAAAGGATGAGGATGGGGCACACTTGCCTAGGAGACTTGCCTGGAATGAAGGGTGAAGGAGGGAGGGGAGAAAAGAGGGAATTGGAGACTGTTCCTTATCTTGGCTCTGGGTTCTGAGAAACATGCCTCTACCACACACTTGGTGGTAGATATCAGGCTTGAACCTAGTGTGAGATAGTTCTGTAATAGTACTGTGAGTCATCTTATTAGGAAGTGCAGGAAGACCAGTCAGGCCTTGAACAGCCGAAATGCTAAGTCAGTTGTCAATTCTGCCATTGCAATTCTGTTCTGTTCTTTTCTAGCCTGTTCTTTTTGTGCTGTGGGGTAATGTATACATTTGATGATGGAATGGTAAAGATAGAAGTAGTATAGTTATGTAGGAGCAGCGTAGGGAAGGAGAGAGACCCCAGAACAGCAGGGAACTGCTAGCTGTAGAATGATAGAAGGCTGTCCCTTCTTTGGAATTATTTCTATAAGATAAATCTCCGGTGATGAAATTTATCAATAGATCAAAATGTATGAATATTTTAAGGCTCTAGAATGACAAATAAGTCAGCCCATCTATAAAAGACAGCATAAAGATTAGAGAAAGTTAACACGTCAACAGAATAACAGATCCTTAACATTTTGCCAGGCAAACAGGGAGGCCCCTTTTTGAAATTTGCTAATTTATGATTTCAAAGTCTAATCTCCTTTCTCCTGTTCAGTATCCAGAGATCTAATTTCTTCTACTTTACAATCACAAGAGGCCTTCAGTTGTAGTCATTTTTTTTTTTTTTTTTTTTGGAGTTTTGCTCTTGTTGCTGGAGTTGCAATGGCACGATCTCAGCTCACTGCAATCTCTTCCTACCAGGTTTAAGCGATTCTCCTGCCTCAGCCTCCCTAGTACTGGGATGACAGGTGCCCGCCACCACGCCCAGCTAATTTTTGTATTTTTAGTAGAGACAGGTTTCACCATATTGGCCAGGACGGTCTTGATCTCCTGACCTTGTGATCCGCCCGCCTTGGCCTCCCAAAGTGCTGGGATTACAGGCATGAGTCACCGTGCCCAGTCTGTAGTCATGTTTACAAAAAAAAGTTTAGGCTGGGCACTAAATTTTATGCCTATGATTCCTATAATCTCAGAGCATTTCTTTTTTTTTTTTTTTTTTTTTTGAGACGGAGTCTCACGCTGTTGCCCAGGCTGGAGTGCAGTGGCGCGATCTCGGCTCACTGCAAGCTCCGCCTCCTCGGTTCACGCCATTCTCCTGCCTCAGCCTCCTGAGTAGCTAGGACTACAGGCGCCCGCCACCGCGCCCGGCTAATTTTTTGTATTTTTAGTAGAGACGGGGTTTCACTGTGGTCTCGATCTCCTGACCTTGTGATCCGCCCACCTCGGCCTCCCAAAGTGCTGGGATTACAGGCTTGAGCCACTGCGCCCGGCCTAATCTCAGAGCATTTCAAGAGGCCAAGGCAGGAGGATTGCTTGAGGCCAGGAATTTAAGAGCAGCCTGAGCAACATAGTCAGACCCTGTCTGTACCCCAAAAAAAAAAAAAATTAGCCAGGCATGGTAGTGCACACTTCTAGTCCTAGCTACTTGGAAGGCTGAGGTGGGAGGATCACTTGAGACCAAGAGTTCAAGGCTCCAATAAGCTACAATCACACCACTGCACTCCAGCCTGGGTGACAGACTGAGATCCTGTCCCTACAAAAGTTAATTAAAAAAAAATTCAGGGCCGGGCGCGGTGGCTCAAGCCTGTAATCCCAGCACTTTGGGAGGCCAAGACGGGCGGATCACGAGGTCAGGAGATCGAGACCATCCTGGCTAACACGGTGAAACCCCATTTCTACTAAAAAATTACAAAAAACTAGCCGGGCGAGGTGGCGGGTGCCTGTAGTCCCAGTTACTCGGGAGGCTGAGGCAGGAGAATGGCGTGAACCCGGGAGGCGGAGCTTGCAGTGAGCTGAGATCCGGCCACTGCACTCCAGCCTGGGCGACAGAGCGAGACTCCGTCTCAAAAAAACAAAAAAAAATTCAAGGCCAGGCGTGGTGGCTCACACCTGTAATCCCAGCACTTTGAGAGGCTGGGGTGGGCAGATTACAAGGTTAGGAGATCAAGACCATCCTGGCCAACATGGTGAAACTCTGTCTCTACTAAAAATACAAAAATTAGCTGGACATGGTGGCACATGCCTGTAATCCCAGCTACCCAGGATGCTGAGGCAGGAGAATGGCTTGAACCAGGGAGGTGGAGGTTGCACTGAGCCGAGATCGTGCCACTGCACTCCAGCCTGGGCGACAGAGTGAGACTCCGTCTCAAAGAAAAAGAAAAAGAAAAAAAAATTCAGGGCCAGGCACAGGGGCTCACGCATACAATCCCAGCACTTTTCGGAGGCCAAGGCAGGCAGATCAGTTGAATCCAGGAGTTCGAGACCAATGTAACAAAACCCTATTGCTACATAAAAAATACAAGAATTAGCTGGGTATGGTGGTGTGTGCCTGTAGTCCCAGCTACTCAGAAGACTGACATGGGAGGATCACTTGAGCCTGGAAGGTGGAGGTTGCAGTGAGCAGCGATTACTCCACTGTACTGCTCTAGCCTTGGCGACAGAGCAAGACCCTGTCTCAAAAAAAAAAAAAAAAAAAAAAAAATTTTTTTTTAGAACAAGGATTTCTGTGTGATAAAAAAAAGTCTATGAATTTTATGTGTTAGGAAACTAGCATGTCCCCAGCCTTCAGCTAGTATTTTTCCTTCCTTTCTACATAATCAACAAAGTCTTCATCCTGAATCTGTGATTTCTCATACCCACAACAATTTTGGAAAATCTTGGCAGGATCTAGAGAGCAAAATGGGCCCTGAGGACATGTGTATGCACAAAAACCCTTTCATTTCTTATTTTCTTGTCCTTCTAACTTCCCCTCCACTGCCAGGGAAAGTAACTACGAAGCTCAGTTTTGCGGCTATTTTCAGTTTGTTTCAGATAGAGATAAAATCTTATTATATCTATGATCTGTCTAGCCTCTTTCACCGTTACCCACCTCTTCTGTGTCGTCACTATATGACTCCATTACAATTGTGTCTTGTTTTTTATCCCTAAGTTAGATTAACTTGGCCTAGATCCTTTACAGTCCTAGGATCAGGAAAACACCTTCATCCCTATTCAGTTAACTTAAACCAAGAATATGTTTATGGTCCCTCTTTTGTATAATTTGGAATTGGTAAATTGGTGGTCACCCAATATTGTTTTCCCTTGATATATCCTGAGACCTTACTGCCTTGAAACATCTAAGGGTAAATCTGGAAAACTACTATGCTGGCCAGATGGAGTTATCTATGGGAAAATAAGGCTTACATAAGACGGAGAAAATCCTTGATTCTTTCCCAAAACCATGCCAGAAAAAAGCTATAAATCCACACTAAGGACCACAAAGGCAGAAGCTTTCTCAGACACTTATAAAAAGCCCCTATGAAGATACCCTTGGCAATCTGGAAGAACAGACCATGATCCTTCCCCTACATCATTTTGGGGAAATAACTAACTAATGACCAAAAAAAAAAAAAAAAAAAAAAGAAATCCTGGCCTGCAAAACTACAGGTTGAAAGGAGGTTAAACGTGTAGATCTGAAGAGTTTCCCTGTGGGATTATTAGAAAATAAAATGCTCCCAGGAAAAAACACTGTCAGCCAATGTTCAGTCAGCTCAGCACTTAGATTATCTTTGGTGTGCAAGTAAACAGACTTGAAATTGCTTTTGAAATCTCTCCAAGACTGTCCATCCCACTCAGTCTTTTATGTCACCATCTAGTGAGTTGTGAAAAACTCCAATTTTCCTTAAATGTAGTTATGTAAGGCTAAAATGCAAGGCATTTTCCATGATCACACTTCACCTTGCCACTTATGATACATGTTTGGCAGTAATCCTTTCCTGATGGGATATACCAAACACAACCAAAACTTTATGGGGAAAATACCCATCTTAGAAGACTTAAAAAGGAAAGACCTTGAGAATTAAAACATTGCCTTATGAGGGAAACAAAGCAAGCTTGTGTCACAAGTTGAACTTTACAAAGAAAAAAAAAATGTAACCAGGCACCTCTGTTGCACAATGAATAGAGTTAATGTTTCTAGCCAACTCTTCATTGTCCATTCCCACCTCAATGACATCCCTGTACATTTTAAGCACAACCTACTGCCAAATGGACCCTCTCTTTATAGAGCAGGATAATGATGGTGAATAGCATTTGGAGTAGAAATAAAACAGCAGATAATAATCCATAATTGTTTTTAATCTTGAGGATGAGTCACCCTCAATTTATTTCCAAATTTCTTCTGTCATCAGCTGTTCATTTCTTTACTTTGAAAATCACCAGATTAACACTGCCAAAGGCAGGAGGTAGGAAATGATCCAAGAGGACAAGTCAGAGGTATCACATGGTGAGTGGCTGAGAAACTGGGAACAAGACAACCCTCAGGAAAGTCTCTTTTTTGTCCCAGCAGAGGCACCAATGTGTGAACCTAATTCACACTTTCATTATTCTAATCAGGTTATTTTTATATCAGTGTAATTTTAGAACAAGACTTGCTAGGGGATTATTTATTTCTTGGGAAATTCTGTCCATCACTCCGCATATCCAAGGTCTAGCGCCAGAATTCATTTCAAGCCAACAAATTATATTCCTATTACCTCTCCTTTTTAATACTTTCACACGCCTTCTTTATTCCCTGAATCTTCCTTTTGTACAAGGAATTTCAAAATAGAATGACCAAACAGACTTTCTAACATCACAGTTGTAAGAAATGTGATCTAGTTGAATGTGAGGTGTCTGAACCTGGGTGAATCCGCATTGCTCATCAATCTCTCTCAGTCCTTAGATGGCCTGTAAAGCATAAGCTTGCTATTTTATCTATATTCAAATTGCCTTTTTAAAGCTGATTGGGTTCTTAAACCCATTTAGCCTCTAACTCCGACTCAGGATTGGAAATAGGAAACTGGAGTCCAGATGTTCTCCCTAGGATTTAGGTCCAAGTCACAGTCCAATTATTGCAGACAGGCTAAAGATGGAGGTTTCTGACTGTCTTTAAAATATCCTCTTAAAAGCACAAAGCTGGAGACTGGGATTAGTAGCCATTTACTGTCAGAAGACCATTCCCCAACTGAAATTCTCTCTTCACATTTGCCTCAGATTATGCCTATATAGGCAACAAAGTAGAAAAACTAAAATGCCACCCAGATAATCCAGAACAAGGAAATATTGTTTTCTTTTTTTTTTTTTTTTCCTGAGACGGAGTCTTGCACAGGCTGGAGTGCAATGGCATGATCTTGGCTCACTGCAAACTCTGCCTCCTGGGTTTAAGCGATTCTCCTGCCTCAGCCTCCTGAGTAGCTGGGATTACAGGCACATGCCACCATGCCCAGATAATTTTTGTATTTTTTAGTAGAGATGGGGTTTCACCGTATTGGTCAGGCTGGTGTCAAACTCCTGACCTCACCTGATCTGCCCGCCTTGGCCTCCCAAAGTGCTGGGATTGTGGGATTACAGGCGTGAGCCACCGCACCCGGCCTATGTAAATATTGTTTTCATCTGAAATCTGCAGATAATTGAAACCAAAAAAGTGTTTTGACTATATGCTGTTTTCCCCTTTACTATGACTTTTTTTCTTTTTCGAGAAAGAGTCTTGCTCTGCCACTCAGGCTGGAGTGCAGTGGCACGATCTCAGCTCACTGCAACCTCCGACTCCTGGATTCTCTTGCCTCAGCATCCCAAGTAGCTGGGATTTCAGGTGTGTACCACCACGCCCGGCTGATTTTTTTTTTTCCGGAGACGGAGTTTCACTCTTGTTGCCCAGGCTGAGTGCAATGGCACAATGTTGGCTCACCACAACCTCCGCCTCCCAGGTTCAAGCGATTATGCTGCCTCAGCCTCCCGAGCAGCTGGGATTACAGGCACCTGCCACTTTTTAGTAGAGACAGGGTCTCGCCATGTTGGCCAGGCTAGTCTTGAATTCCTGACCTCGGGTGATCCACCCGCCTCGGCCTCCCAAAGTGCTGGGATTACAGGCATGAGCCACCGTGCCCGGCCGCTAATTTTTGTATTTTTAGTAGAGACGGGGTTTCACCATGTTGGCCAGGCTGGTCTTGAACTCCTGACCTTTACTATGACTTCGTAGGCACAATCATAAATGTTTGCAACCACTGAGCTTTCAAATTAGTGGTACTCAACCTGGAGTTCACTGCACAGTAGGTAACCGCTGTCTTGGTTTCGGTTTAATGCATTTGCAAATGAATCAAGATATTCCGGCATAGCCCCAACCTTACCAAAACACACAGATTAAATGTCAGTTTATGACAAGTATCTGAATACTCAGTCATGCTAGATGATGGAACTGTGTAGAAGGTGATGAGGAAGAAAGTCTGTCACAACTCCTGGGAAGTCTCCCTCCTCTCCACCTTCTACATTAGCTAAAATGAGTGAGCATTAACTCCTGACGAATACGGTCAGCCTCTAAGTCCAGGGACTCCATGTGCTCATACTCTTCTTCAGGGGGCTGTTCCATGGGTCCTGTCATTGGAGAGGACCAAACATCCATCCCATGCTCCAGGGAGATGTTGTGGAGAACACAACAGGCCAAGATGATGTGGCTGGATTTCTCTGGTGAGTACTGCAGTGCCCCCTTGGATCCATCCAGGCAGCGGAATCGGGAGCAGAGGGTTCGGAAAGTCTTCTCAATCACACTGTGAGTTGCAGAATGGGCCATATTATAGCGATATTCTGCTGGAGTTTCAGGAATGTGAAGTGGGGTCATGAGCCAGGTTCGAAGAAAGAAGGAACTGTCACCTGTGGGGAAGGCCCAAAGAAATCATAAGTGACTATAAGTGGAATACAAACAGGAAGCGAAATTCAGAAAACATATACTGACAATGGACAAGAAAATACAACAGCCTCTGGTGCTAAAGCACACTAGAAAAACCAGGCAGAAAAAAGAAATCATGCCAATGCCAGGAGCAGAAAGACACGAGTTCTGGCTGAGAATATTGTTGGTAAAAATCGACAGAGAAAAACGCTGGCACCTAAAGGAAGCCAAATATGAAAGAATGTAGAAAGGAGGTGAAGGCACTGGAGGAAATAAAATTCCTGCATTTGGCCGGGCACGGTGACTCACGCCTGTAATCCCAGCACTTTGGGAGGCCGAGGTGGGTAGATCACCACCTGAGGTCAGGAGTTCAAGACCAGCCTGACCAACATGGGAGGCAGAGTTTGCAGTGAGCCAAAATCACGCCACTGTACTCCAACCCGGGCAAGAAGCACGAAACTCCATCTCAAATAAAATAAAATTCCTGCATTTTCCTAATATTGTTATTTAATAAAAGGCTTAATAAAACCAAATAAAATCAAATAGCATGCCAATCTTTAAAATCTCTAAAGAGCAAGAATGAAATTCGGCCGAGAGATCCCAAAACACTTGTGAGGGAAAGTCTTAACTTTACCCTCAAAATTTCAAGTCTAAAAGCACTACCAAGGGATTTCAGGTGATTTCATGGACTATAGTAATTTATTGTCCCAGTGCTGAGAAGAATAAGATAAAAGTCCGAGCACTTATGGCAGAGATCAGAACTCAGGTGTTCTGCCTTCCTATATATCACAATTACTAGAACCATGCCTTTGTAAGAGGAAGAATTTCACATGAACAAAGAGAGCATACATATAGTCATGCAAATAGTAATAGTGATAAGGAAATGAATTCAGAAGTCAATTAAAAAAATACACACAAGGCATTCTCCTTAAGTGACTTCTTTATCAAATGATCCCAGGAAGTGCTAACAAAACAACAACAAAAAACTGGGGTGCAATGTCCTGATACAACAACACAATGTTAGTATAATGTTTTCTTGTCCTGACTCACTGTCACTACATCTGGCAGATGAGATGTCCCACATAGAGGCAAAACCTCTTAGAAATTTGAGAGACAAATAGCCCCTGGAGTACCAGTTTGCATACCACTGTGTTCCGGCCCCACCATCAATTTCAGTAAATCGTTCTGAACTGTTCAGACAGTGGTAGGCACTGTTCCCAACATACAGGGCTCATTTCTTTTAGGCGCTTACATTTATTTTTTTGGAGACAGAGTTTTGCTCTGTCACCCAGGCAGGAATGCAGTGGAGTGATAACAGTTCACTGCAGCCTCAACCTTCCAGCCTCCTACCTCAGCCTTCCGAATATCTGGGACCACGGGCATGTGCCACCACGCTTGGCAAATTTTTTTAATGTTTTCTAAAGAGGAGGTCTGACGACGTTACCCAGGCTGGTCTTTAAGTCCTGTGCCCAAGCAATCCACCCACCTTGACCTCGCAAAGCCCTGGGATTACAGCGCCTAGCAGGAGCTTACATTTCTAAGAAATGGATTAACTGTAAATATCTAAGAAGTCTCACAGAATTTTCAAATTTACTGTTTAGCTGACTTTTCCCCTCCCAGGTATAACTTTTTATTTTTATTTTTTTTTAGACCGAGTCTGCTCTGTTGCCCAGGCTGGAGTACAGTGGTGCAATCTCAGCTCACTACCACCTCTGCCTCCCAGGTTTAAGCAATTCTCCTGCCTCAGCCTCCTGAGTAGCTGGGACTACAGGCACGTGCCACCACGTCCGGCTAATTTTTTGTGTTTTTAGTAGAGACAGGGTTTCACCATTTTGGCCAGGCTGGTCTCAATCTCCTGACCTCGTGATCTGCCCGCCTCGGCCTCCCAAAGTGCTAGGATTCCAGGTGTGAGCCACCGCGCCTAGCCTTTTTTTTTTTTTTTTTTTTTTTTTTTGAGACAGAGTCTCACTCTGTTGCCCAGGCTGGAGTGCAGTGGCATGATCTCAGCTCACTGCAACCTCCACCTCCCAGGTTCAAACAATTCTCCTGCCTCAGCTTCCCGAGTAGCTGGGATTACAGGCACCTGCACCACGCCCGGCTAATTTGTGTATTTTTAGTAGAGACAGGGTTTCACTATGCTGGCCAGGCTGGTCTCAAACTCCTGACCTCAGGCTTCCCAAAGTGCTGGGATTACAGGCGTGAGACACTACACCCGGCCATAACCTTTTTTTTCATTGAACATAACCCTACTAAATAATGAATTTAAGAAACTGATGCGCCGGGCGCGGTGGCTCACGCCTGTAATCCCAGCACTTTGGGAGGCCGAGGCGGGCGGATCACAAGGTCAGGAGATCGAGACCACGGTGAAACCCCGTCTCTACTAAAAATACAAAAAATTAGCCGGGCGCGGTTGTGGGCGCCTGTAGTCCCAGCTACTCGGGAGGCTGAGGCAGGAGAATGGCGTCAACCTGGGAGGCGGAGCTTGCAGTGAGCCGAGATCGCACCACTGCATTCCAGCCTGGGCGACAGAGCGAGACTCCGTCTCAAAAAAAAAAAAAAAAAAAAGAAACTGATGCTATAAATAATAATGAAAAATAATATCCACGACTCATTGAACGCCTACTGTGTAGCATGTACTGTGCTGGTACTTTTTTTTTTTCTTTTTTACTTTCTTGTCTTTTTCTTTTCTTTTTTTTGAGACGGAGTCTCACTCTGTCGCCCAGGCTGCAGTGCAGTGGCACAATCTCGGCTCACTGCAACCTCTGCCTCCTGGGTTCAAGCAATTCTCCTGCCTCAGCCTCCCGAGTAGCTGGGACTACAGGCACATGCCACCGTGACTGGCTAATTTTAGTATTTTTAGTAGAGATGGGGGTTTCACCATGTTGGCCAGGCCGGTCTCAAACTCCCAACCTCACATGATCCGCTCCCTTCGGCCTCCCAAAGTGCTGGGATTACAATCGTGAGCCACCACACCCTGGCCTAACTTTCAATATTTATTTAGTTTAGTTTAGTTTAATGTTTTTGAGACAGAGTCTCACTCTGTCACCTACGCTCAAGTGCAGTGGTATGATCACAGCTCACTGCAACCTCAAACTCCTAAACTCAAGCAATCTTCCCAACACAGCCTCCTGAGTAGCTGGGATTACAGGCGCATGCCACAACACCCAGCTAATTTTTAAACTTTTTGTAGAGACAGGGTCTTTTTTTTTTTTTTTTTTTAGATGGAGTCTCGCTCTGTCGCCCAGGCTGGAGTGCAGTGGCCGGATCTCAGCTCACTGCAAGCTCCGCCTCCCGGGTTCGGGCCATTCTCCTGTCTCAGCCTCCTGAGTAGCTGGGACTACAGGTGCCCGCCACCTCGCCCGGCTAGTTTTTTGTATTTTTTAGTAGAGACGGGGTTTCACCCTGTTAGCCAGGATGGTCTCGATCTCTTGACCTAGTGATCCGCCCGTCTCGGCCTCCCAAAGTGCTGGGATTACAGGCTTGAGCCACTGCGCCCGGCCGAGACAGGGTCTTGTTATGTTGCTAGGCTGATCCTGAACTCCTGGCCTCAAGCATTCCTCCCGCTTCACCTCCCAAGGTGCTGAGATTACAGGCATGACCACCACACCCAGCTGGTACTTTTTAAAGATTATCAGCCTGGGCATGGTGGCTCATGCCTGTAATCCCAGCACTTTGGGAGGCTAAGGCAGGCGGATAACCTGAGGTCAGGAGTTTGAGACCAGTCTGGTCAACACAGCAAAACCCCATCTCTACTAAAAATACAAAAATCAGCCATGCGTGCCTGTAGTCCCAGCTACTTGGGAGGCTGAGGCAGAACTGCTTGAACCTGGGAGGTGGAGGTTGCAGTGAGCCGAGATCACGCCACTGCACTCCAGCCTAGGCGACAGGGTGAGACTGTCTCCAAAAAAAAAAAAAAGATTATCTCTTATTATGCAATCCCAACTCTGCTAGGTTAGATATTGAACTCATTTTTCAAATGAGAAGATCAAAGTATATGTCTGTCATCCTTTGATATGTCAGGCAAAGGAAAGACCTAGTCACCAAATGCTAATTTCAGACTCAAAATACTAAAACAAGAGCATAATAAAAGAAGAGTATAATGCTGTAAAAGAGAATAAAGTAAGTATATAAGATAAATACTGAAACCTGGAGATGTTAAATGATACTTGTTAAAGTTTCTCTAAGGAATGGTATGAGTCTTAAATGGAGGAGATATACAGGAAAAGCTAAAGGAGACCTTTTGTAAAATTGCTCTACCCTCACTAAATGGTTATAAACCAAGCACCACTGGAAAACAGACACTCAAGAGGGGATTAGGATCAGAATTGCTAAACAGATTACAATTGCTTATATGATCAGTCATCCACAAGACATTCTGGCAGATCTTACCCAAAGCTGCTTTAATAGGACTAGGCCAAGAGCTAAAGAAATAAGAACTGAGGCTGAATTGTTTGCAGGAATAGGTATATTTAGAAGGGAATTTAGATAATGCATTCTGAAGGGACAGATGAGAATGAGGACAGGAATGGATAATATTGTAGGAAAAATAATGCTAAAAAAAAAAAAAAAGGCTGGAGGATCACAGCTAGTTCTAGGTTTGAGAAATCTAGAACTGTTCCTCAAACCTGAGGGTTGTTTCTTAAAATATAATTAGGTGGCCAGGTGCAGGGCTTCACACCTGTAATCCCAGCACTTTGGGAAGCCATGGTGGGTGGATCACCTGAGGTCAGGAGTTTGAGACCAGCCTGACCAACATGGTGAAGCCCCGTCTCTATTAAAACACAAAAATTAGCCGGGCATGGTGGCGGGTGCCTGTAATCTCAGCTACTCAGGAGGCTGAGGCAGGAGAATTGCTTGAATCCAGGAGGCATAGGTTGCAGTGAGCCAAGATCGCTCCGTTGCACCGCAGCCTGGGCAACAAGAGCGAAACTCCGTCTCAAAAAAAACAACAAAAATACAATTAGCCATCTATTCTCTCTTTCGT